GGAAATGAGTCTCACAGACTTTCCTGCCTGAGCTAGCTTTGAATCACAACCCTCAGATTTCAGTCTTTGGAGTTGCTAGGATTTCCAGGGGTGAGCCACCAGTGCCTGGTCATTCTTGCTCTTTTGTTTGACATCTGTTCTGCAGAAAGAAGATCCCAAAGACAACAAACATCAGGGAGCTGGAAGTCCTGAGTCAAATCCTGCTATGCTGCTCCATCCCTGTGTAAGCTTGGACCAGCCACAGCGCTGTTCTGAGTACATTTCCTCTGCAGTGACAGAGGAAGAGCTGTCTCACAGTACTAGGGAAGAACAAACATGGGTGAGCACGTAGCACAGGCCCTGCCTATAGAAATCACGTGCTCAGCTCCAGAATGACTCTAACCTCCAATCCTGACCTTGCAAATGTAAAGAAGATGGACAACAGGAAAGCCAGCCCTTCAAAGGCCCTACCCTAGCAACACAAGTGAGAAGCAATATTGAAAAATCACATTTGGATGTGAGCAATTAGGTATACTGTTTGGGGTTTTTGTTGATGATGTCGTGCCAGTCCTGGAGCTTGAACTCAGGGCCTGGTTACTGTCCCTGACCTGTTTTGCTTAAGGCTATCTCTCTGCTACTTGAGCCACAGCACTATTTCTGGCTTCTTGATGATTAATTGGAGGTAAGAGTCTCACAAACTTTCCCGCCCAGACTGTATCCTCAGTCTGGGTAGCTAGGATTATACCCATGGGCCACTAGTGCCCAGCTGTACTTTTAATATAAACCAGCAGAATAGCTGGGTGCTGGTGGCCTTAAGCCTAAAATCCTGGTACTCGAGAGGCTGATTTGAGGATCACTGGTAAAAGCTAGCCTGGGCAGAAAAGTCCATAAGGCTCTTTAACTAGCAAAAGAGCTGGAAGTGCTTCCAGTGGCAAAGTTCCAGCCTTGGTTGAAAAAGCAAAGGAGATCTTGAAGACCTAAGCTCAAGCCCCAGGACCAGCACACACACACACACACACACACACACACACACACACACACACACACACACACACACACACACACACACACACACACCAAATAAGCAAAAAACTCAGCATGTATTGCAAAGATCTTGAAGACCTAAGCTCAAGCCCCAGGACCAGCACACACACACACACACACACACACACACACACACACACACACACCCCAAATAAGCAAAAAACTCAGCATGTATTACCCCACGGAGTAAATGTACACACACACACACACACACACACACACACACACACACACACACACACACCCCCCAAATAAGCAAAAAACTCAGCATGTATTACCCCACGGAGTAAATGTACATAGTTCATTTCAAAAAGAACTCTTAATTTCTATTATGTTCTGAGACCTCTGAGACCGTAATCATCTCATTAACTGGAATTTTTGTCCTGTCATTTAAGATGAGACAGAAACAAAGTCAATTTTATATTTTTTTATTTAAAATAAATTTACTAAGAGCGTCCTTGGTGCTTGTCCTCACAGAAGATCAAATGTCAAAGTACCTGACATGTCACCTCCTGTCTTACACAAACTGTTGACCCAAAGTAACATTTCCTATCACCACTTTCTAAGACAACACAGGAAATATCAAGTGAATGATCAAAAGAAATTAGGATGACCAAGCCTGTAAAACAACCTGAGTCCGTTAAAAGAAGAAAAACAAAATCATGTCTGAATGAATAATTCATGATTCAGACAGCCCCCAAATTTAATTGGCATTATCTATACTACTAAAGATTTTTTTTTAACTCACTTAGGAAAGAGTTTTTATTTCCATGAAATTGGATCTTTGGTTCAAAATTGAATCTCCTACTAAAAACTCCGCTCTATAAAGATGATGTAATAGTGGGGTATGCTCTTAACATTTCATTGCTGGGAATATAAATGAAATTGATCTGATTATTTGCCAAATAATGTTACTCCAGCCAGGCTCTGTCCTGTCCTAACTGGGCGGTCAAAAAAATAACAAAAAGCAGACACTCAGTATTAAAGTTGCATTTTCTAGCTTAATCTTGCAAGATTCATATTCAGCCATGAAGTCAGAATGCATGGAAAATTGATTTGTCCTATAGTTGATTAGAGGATCTTTGTCTGGAAAAAATAAGCAAAGCCTAAGGGGTCAGACCTTTTGGCAAGTCGAAATATTGACTAAAATGAAAGAAAACACAACCTGAATGGAACTACAGAATATTGTCACTATCATTCTCCTGACCTTGGTAAGCTTTTTTTTTTAAGTGGCTACAATTCTAAAGAATCTAAAATTTATTTATTTTCTCTCCTTCTTTCCTTTTTTCTTCTACTTTCTCCCTTTCTCCCTCTTCCTTCCTCTTCTCTTCCTTCTCTTTCCTTCCTCCCTCTCTGTCTCTGTCTGTCTCTGTTTTTTTTCCTCCCCTCCCCCCTCTTTCTTGTGCCAGTATCGGGGCTTGAACTCAAGGACTCACACTCTCACTCGGCTCTTTACCAATCAAGGCTGGTGTTCTATACTACTTGAGACACAACCTCCACTTGCAGTCTTTTGCTGGTTAATTAGAGACCATTAGAGATTAATAGTCTCACACACTTTCCTGACCAGGCTGGCTTCAAACCAAGATCTTCCATATCAGCCTCCTAGATAGCTAGGATTACAGGTGTGAGCTACCAGTGCCTAGCTAAGAAATATAAAATTTCTAATAAACAAAAACTTTTTTCTTCCTGAATTTTAAAAAATCGTTCTGTAGGGAATATGATACTCTGCATCCCATTCGAAGCTACTCTTCTCACTAATATACTACTAAACTCCTAAAACACTAGCCTAGGAAGGACTTACAGGTAAACAAATACAAAATGACAATAGGATAAAAAGTTATCCAAAAAATCTCAGCATAAATTTGTAAATCAGCAAAGACAGAGGCTGCAGAAGTAATTCAATGGTAGAGTACTTGCCAGGCAAGCACAGGCCTTCAATCTACTCCTTGTACCACACACACACACACACACACACACACACACACACACACACACACACATAAATTTACTATAAATTTTACTCACTGGTGAAGCTCAAGAGTAGAATGCTTGTCCAGTAATGTATAGAGCCCTGAGTTCAATCCTCACCCTTGCAAATAAACAACAACAACAAAAAGAGAGATGCATATCCAAAATTCTAACCTTTCTTTTTTGTTTGTTTTTTAATTTTTTTTTTTTTTTGGTCGGTCGTGGGGCTCAAACTCTGAGTCTGGGCACTGTCCCTCAGCTCTTCAGCTCAAGGCAGCCCACTACCACTTGAGCCACAGTGCCACTTCTGGTTTTCTGGTGGTTAATTGGAGATAAGAGTCTCACAGACTTTCCTGCCTGGGCTGGCTTTGAACCACAATCCTCATATCTCAGCCTCATGAATAGCTAGATTTACAGGTGTGAGCCACCGATACCCAGCTAACCTTTCCAAGGAAATAAATCAAGCCATTACAATGACAACAGAGGAGTCTGAGTTTATTCAAAAAGTATTTACTGAGCCCTTACTATGAGCCAGGTAGTGTCTTAGGTGCTAGGAATATATTGCGTTGATTAAAAACATAGAAAATCCCTGTCTCTCATTGTGCCTCTAGAAGGAAAGATACAAGACAATAAACACAATAAATAAGCAAATGACATCGTAAGTTAGAAGGTAGTAAGTACTACAATAAAACAAAATAGAGAAGTTTTATGCATGAATGACAAATTTTATCTGGAAAAATTTCCAAACCACACTAGAACTAAGCCTATATTTTTGTATAAGACAAAAGAAATTATTTCTTGCTGTATGATGTTTATGAGGTCTGTGTGTGTGTGTGTGTGTGTGTGTGTGTGTGTGTGTGTGTAGCTTGAACTCAGGGCCTGGGTGCTATCCTTTAGTTTTTTCATCAAGGCTGGAACTCTACCACTTGAGCCACAGCTCCAATTCTGGCTTTTTGCTGATTAATTGGAGAAAAGAGTCTCATGGACTTTTCTGCCCAAGCTGGGTTCAAATCATGATCCTCAGATCTTAGGTCTTCTGAGTAGCTAAGATTATAGGTGTGAGCCACTTGGTACCACACTGTTTATAGGATTTTTTAACCAAAAAAAAAAATGGGAGAGATTTTAACAATATGACAGAAGAATTCAAAACTTGTGAAAGGTAACTTTCATATAATAGATATTCAATATAGAGTTCTTGAGGCAGTGAAATCTGTTTACTGCAGCAGTAGAACCTTCAAGAGTTCTAGCAAATTCCATGATTCTGGCCACTCTATCAACCAGTCTGTCTCAAAAGTCAAGTCGGCTTGAAGAAAGGCTGGTAGGGGCAGACCACATTGTAGAATTCAAATCGCTTTGAGATATTTTTAAATCTCCACTTCCTTTTATAAATAAAGCACCCTCTTTTTCTTATTTTGTTGAAGCAGGGTGAGTTCATTAAAAAGGAACACTGGAAAAACATGGAAATGCCCACATTCCCAACTCCATCTTTTCTCCAACCGTTTCCACTGAATTCATTTATCATGTATCACTAACCCTAGCTCTTTCCACACTTATCAGATGCTGACACTAAATTAACAGGTAGATTTTTAATCCTTTGATCTCAATTCAAATTTCCATTCCACCAAAGCAATCAAAACCACCAACATCTAGTTTTAGCCTCTGGGTAAATTAGGTTCTCCAAGTAAGAAATGAAACCAGAGAATAAATGACATTGTCATCTTCAATCAGAAAGTCATTACTTTTAGCAAAATGGAACAGAGACAGAAAGGTCCAGGATGAAGAATCAGGAAACAGGAGTGTCCACCCCATGGGACACTTTTAAATACATCACTATGACAGCAGCCCTTTCCAGAGGTAATAACACTATTAGGTCATGGTAATTTTCTAGAGACCCCAGCAGCCCCAGATGAAGAACATCTGGACATGGTTCAGATGATACAAATGTCTGTTTCCTGATGTTAAGGTTCCAATCATGTTGCTCTGTTTCATGGATCACCTTTTTTTTTTTCCAAAACCTCCTCTCAGATCAGGAAGTATACATAAAGTGCAAGCGGGATTCACTCCGATGTCCCAGGATCGTGTTTTGATAGTTGGTATCCCCAAGTCTTTCAATTAAACTGCTGGCCAATGACGATGAAGTTAGAAAATGAGCTCATCTGGTGAAGAGGGCATCTGAGGTGGGTGCAGACCTGGCAAGAAGACGCACTAGACAGGGGTGGGAAGCACGCAAGCAGTAGCGGGGATTTATGGTCACTTGAGGAGGCCATCTTTGGATCGCAACTCTTAAAGAGAGTTTAGGAACCATTCCAAAATGAATGAAGCCAGCAGATTTCAGAGCAGTCAATCTTTAGCAAGGGCAGATTCTGTTTTCCCTGGGTTGGAAACAGGAAAGAAAAATAAAGGGTCAAATTTGATGAGGTTTATATCAATTAAATAACTTTTCTGTTTGTATGTGTGTATGTATGTATACGTGTATTTATTTATTTATTTAGTGCCCGACATGGAGCTTGAACTCAGGGCTTCAAGCTATCACTTGTCCTTTTCAAACAAGGCTGACATTCTACCACCTAAGCTGCAGCTCCACTTCCAGTTTTCTGATGCTTGATTGGAGATAAAGTCTCAAAGACTTTTCTGTCCAGGCTGGCTTCAGACCTCAGATCCTCAGATCTCAGCCTGCTGAGTATAGTTAGCATTATAGGTGGAGTGTCACAGCTCCCAGCTGACTTCTCATTTTATAAAGCAACTTAAGCCTTCTGGTAATTTTGCAAAAGGTGTCTTGATAGGTAAACAGATCAAATGGTTCATAGGTTAGGTAATGTCACATACATTTCTTCACTGCAGACTTTTTTCTTTCTGGGGCTGGGGATTAAACCTAGGACCCTTTTCCATGGTAGGCAAGCACTTTATAACTGAGTTATAATCCCAGCTTTTACATCGAGACTACTGAGGGCCTTAGTGAATGGCAGTGTCGTACTTCAGGAGAGGGACTGTATACATTCTACAGCACTTCCCATATTTGATGGGGACCAAAAATGTACCTTTTCATTAACCAACTTGGCAGGGTTGATATTTTAGTGCAATATTTTCATTTTATTTTGAGATAGTCTTATTATGTAGCCCAATCTGAGCTCAAATTTATGATCTTCCTGCCTCTGCCTCTCAGTGTTGGGATTACAAATGGGCACTACCATGCCCTGCTTATTGCAATATATTCTGGGAAATGTTGCCTTAATATATTGGTGAGAGAGGACTGGAACGTTAAGTAAGACTCATTTTATGTTACACAAGCCATTTTAAATCCAGAGTTGTAATCCTATGCCAAAATACTAAATTGGTCACTGTAGCTGGGTTCCATTATCTTTGTGATATGCCAAAAATCACAATCCAAATTTAATATTGCACATGTATAGCTGACACTGATGACAAAAGTTAATGTCTATTATAATCACAATAAGTGGGCATCCTCAAGTGACATTCTTTACATTCTTTTTTTTCTGATTACACTCATCATATATGAAGCTAAGCCACAACTGAGATTAAACATAGTACATTATAAAAATCAATAAAATGCAAGTTATAAATTAAGTTGATCACAAGCCACAGAAAATGATTAAACACGTACTAGTTAAACTCCTGAATTTCTTTTTGGCTTCTGCCCTTTCTTCTGCATCAAAGTACCAAACAGTCATAGCATATCTGTGAACAATAAACAGGTGTTAGAACTGAGATTACAAAGAAAAAAACCAACTTATTATGAATCTCACATTTTAAAAGTCATTTGTTAAACCAACACTTGACATTTTACCTATCATTCCAAGTCCAACCCTATTTTCATTCAATAGCAATTTCTCTGGTTTCAACTGTGTGTCCATGGAAGAAAATACATAAGGACTCCTAGGTTGTGTGGCAGGTATTACCCGAGCGAGAAGAATTCAAATGATCCTATCAACAGAATCTTCCTTGAGTTCCTCAAGAATGTCAGGCCCACATAGGGAAGACAAAGATTCAACAAATTATTACAAGGAACTATGGCCTCAATAGAAAGGACTAGAAAGAATTCATTCTGCTAAAGACTGAGAGGCTCCAGTGGACATTAGAAAACAAAGCAAAGCAGATGAACGTGAGTGAACCTTTGAAAAATAACTTGGTGACATCACAGAACAGTGAAAACTCATGGCTTGCTTTGTCCAGTTTGGGACACTGAGGTATGGCTATAATTTAATAATGATGACATCAAGCTTCTACTTTGTTCCAGTGATTTGCCTTATCAGCTCCATGAGGTAGACTCTAATGGGAACTATTTCATGCATGTGGTATTTTTTAAGATTACTTTTGTAATTATTATAACTAGCCACAGTAATTTTTACAGCACCTCACTCCTTCTTTCTCCCCGCCAAGGTCTTCCAGTCAACCTTTGCCAATGTTTTTCCTGGACTAGGTCATACCCAGAGAATTCTGCCGCAAAAGACAGGTTCCAATGACTGAATCCCATAAACGAAGCCACAAACAGACTTTGGTGGTAGAATTAGAGAAGTGTTCTCTAGAGTACACTACAATTTGGTATTGAAATGCAATTCTGTTTGGGTTTCAGTGCAACTTGGAGATGTCTGGATGGGGACACAGGTGACTTTATTGAACTAGACTTGTTAAGGTTTTCATTCCAAAGCTCATATCCTACCTTCAGCTACTATTTATACTATTATTCCTCCTAATTACACCCCTATCTATATCTCTGGCCATACAATAAAGGTAAATAAGAGGCAGAACTGAGAAGATTTTATCAGGATCCCCTTTATCAATATTAAACATTACTAAGTTGTTCAATAACTGAAAACCTTCACATTCATGTGTTTAAAAAAAAAAAGATGTATATGTAGGTATCAGTGGCTCACACATTTAATCTGAGCTACTCAGGAGGCTGACATCGGAGGGTCAAGGTTGAAGGCCAGCCTGAAGAGAAATGTCCTTGAGACCTCATCTTCAATTAACCATCAAAAAGCCAAGCTAGAGGCATGGTTCAAATGGTAGAGCACCAACGATGAGAAAGAAAACTAAAAAAGTGTGAGGCCCTGAGTTCAAGTCCCAGTACCATCAAAAAAATTTAGAAACTTCTTCCACTTTTTGAGATATGGATACATTTAACCTAGGCCAATATTAAGCTAAGGGAGGGATAAAAAGGAATCAAAACAAAAAATACTCTTCCCTTTCTCAGCAATCTTTTTATGCTTGTAAGTAATGTTTTATAATCTTGCCTAAAGTGCACAGAATTCCTGATCTGTGATGGCCAACATTTCCTATGTTAATGTTTTTAAAGTGGAGGAGAAAAGGGAAGGCAAACGAGGAGAGAAAAACATAGAAATCTGGAATCCAATAGGCTCACCTAACAGAAAATAATCTAATAATCATTATTTTAAAGAAAAGTTAGATTTGTATACTCAAGACTCCCACGTTTCCCCTTTAATTCTTACTACTACAAACAAGTCAGGCTATAAGCTTTAGGGTAGAGCCAGTCTCTCCTACGCACAGATGTGATAAGTTTAGAGTTTTCTGGGAATTGGGGTTTGCATCATAAGCCCCTCAGCAGGAAATCAGGGCCTTGACTATTACCTGGTTGCATAGGAAGGCTGGACTTCATGTGGGTTCCTACGATCTGACCAGAAGAACAGAAGTCTATCAAAAATGGGCTCCACATCAGCTATGAATGACTTTCCTTCTGGAAATATTCTCAGAATCCCACCATGCAACTGAGGACAAAAACAAAGTAGATTACTTCCTGGCCTCACAGGCAACCATGGTAGTTTAGTCCCAACTAGAAACCACAACACCTTCTAAACGCCAAAATAATTTTTTGTTGTTTTTGTTTTCGGTGCTGATCCTGGGGTTTGAACTCAGGGCCTGGGCTCTGTCCCCTTTTGTGCTCAAGGTTAGCATTCTACTACTTGAGCCCACAGCTCCATTCCAGCTTTCTGGTGTTTAATAGGAGATAACAGTCTTACAGATTTGCCTGCCTGGGCTGGCTTTGAACTGTGATCCTCAAGTCTCAGCCTCCTGAGTAGCTAGGATTATAGGCATGAGACACTTTGTCAGCGAAACTCCAAAATTTTAACTTTAACCTCCTACTCAGTATCAAATTTTATCTCTATCTTAGCTAGAGATACTTTTCTTACACAAAGTTCTTCTATCTGTACAAAGAGGAAATACTGATTACTATGAGATAACTTCACATACAAGGGCCAATATCTAACTGTTCAGACCTAAAACAAAGTAGATAAAATCCCAAATCCTACTAGCAAGTTCCATCTCCTACTAACATCCTAAGAAATTTACCACACAGAACTTCCCTGCCATTACAATTTCTAGTTTTCTTCAGAACTCTTCTTGGTCCTATGTGATTGTGTTGGTTAAACATTATATATTCTTTTCCCTGAACTCTCTCAAGCCACTTTATCTGCACTTTTAATAATATATAACACTCTCTTGAACTGATTTATTTTTTTTAACTGTGTATTCCCAATCTGTCCTACTAGATCTACATTCTAGGTGGAAATCAAGCCTCATCCATCACAGCACAAAGCCTACCATAGCAGAAACTCCAATATTTGTTGATTCCACTCTGGGTAATACACTATTACTGACCCAATAACTTCATCCAGCATAGCACCCCTAAGAATTTTAAGAGACTTTAATGGATGTAGGTTGGTCATGTGACCAAATAAAGATAAGCTTTTTCGCTAATCCATTGGTTTCCTAGCTATTATTCTTTGGACCCCAGATACAATATTGCTTTATGACATCTAGATTCTGCTCTCATGAACAGGAAATGGAAATGAAGAAGGTTCAAAAAGTCAAACAAGCTTGTAAAGTTCTCTGACTTCTCAGACTCCTAAATCATTCTGAACTTTCGGAGCGCATCCAAAGTCCAGCCAAATATTCATAAGCATGGATGCAGACTTCATGTTGCAGTCTGTGTATAGCAGCTAAAATGCAAAAATGACACCCCCCCAAAGCCTCTGGCATTCACAAACCATGACATCTAAGTATGACAACAGGCCATGGCTGAGCTGCATGGCTGTGTGGGAAGACTCTCTGGAAGTGGTTCTATATTCTATAGTTCTGTTTTTGCAGACATCTTTCAATATTACTGCTGGCAGGGAAAAGCATGTATACTACTATGCGTTGAGATCACTTCAGCTCTTAATTAGACTATAAAATTCATTCTTAATCCTAACATAGTTAGTTATCTTTTCTTCAGCCATACTCTCCGCATTTTAACACTCACCTACCTACATTCCACCAAATTAATTTCTTAGTCACTTTTTTTAAGAGCCTAGCCAGTACTGGGGCTTGAACTCAGGGCCTTGTACTTTGCTAGGCTTTCTTGCTCATGGCTGGTGCTCTTCCACTTGAACCATCCCTCCAGTCCAGATTTTTGCTGGTTTATTGGAGCTGGAGTTACACAGACTTTCCTACCCAAACTGGCTTCAAATTGTGATTCTCTCCCTGAGTAGCCAAGATTACAGGCATGAACCACTGATTCCTGGCTCACAGTCATAATTTTTACCTCATGAACTCTAACTAGTTCAATAGGTGAGAAAAAGAGAAAATACAAACAGATGTAGAAATGATTCAAAAGCTGGAGACAGGGCTGGGAAGGTGGCTCAGTGGTAGAGCGCTTGCCTTGCATGCTTGAGGCCCTGGGTTCGATTCCTCAGCACCACATAAGCAAAAAAGAAAAAACCAGAAGTGGTGCTGTGGCTCAGGTGGTAGAGTGCTATCTTTGAGCTGAAGAGCTGAGGGACAGCGCCCAGGCCCAGAGTTCAGGCCCCACGACTGGACCAAAAAAAAAAAAAACAAAGCTGGAGACAGGGCTAGTTGGGATTCAAATCCCTTCCCAAGTGACCTGAATTCTTTTCCTAGTTGGAAATGGCAGGCTCTTTATCATGATCTCCCAAGCCTACCTTATCTGCCTCCACCCACCTTGCCAACACCTACCCCAGAACAATTTCCCATTATTCCAACATACCTTAGCATCCCAATTCTTGTTCAAGTAGTAGATGCAGGTGATACAGCGTCCATCACCATTGGGGTTGTCCACATGGCGAACATAACCTGTGCCATTTCCTGGATAGCAAGCCACCATTGCCTGCAGAAAAATCCCAAATAAATTGGTTGACAATTGGTGAACAGACATGCAATAACCTTCTTGATTGCTATCTGACATTCACATGTCCAATACCTAAACTTGAGTGATTACCGTAACAGAACATTAATGTAAATTAATATTGAGCATGAAAGTTTAACAAGCAGGCCACACCTTATGGCTCAGTCCAGATGTAACAATATCCCCGCAGGTCTAGAACCTTGTAGACTGTTAAGGTAACCTGTCTCCATCATCATTAGGATAGCCTGCCTTTCTTTTATGTTATTTTTGAAAGAAGTAGGTTCTAGGTTCCTATTGGAACCCTGATGGAGTTACTAGGTATGGGAGTTGGGTATGGCAGCACATCCTTATAATCCCACCACTAGGGAAAGCTGAGGCAGGATGATGGAGGTCAGCCTGGGATCTAGAAGGAAAGTGTAACAAAAACGAATCAAGAGCAGGGTGGCTTACGCCCATAATAGTAGATACTCAAGAGGTTGAGATCTGAGACTTGCAGTCCCTGCCTGGGCAGGAAAGTCTGTGAGACTTTTATCTCCACTTAACCACCAAAAAGCTAGAAGTAGAGCTATGGCTTAAGTCATAGAGCTCTAGCCTTGAGCAAAAACAGTTCAGGTAGAGAGTTCAAGCTCCAGGACCAGAATTAAAATAAAACAAGAATCGTTAAGCATGAAGCCTTAGAGATTGTCTGTTTAGAGAGCACCTTTGAATTGTGAAAACATTACATTTTATTTACAAAGAAACACTTCCAATAACAAAGGAAGCCAAGGCATGGTATACTAAATAAAAAGTTTAGAACAGAAGGAAGAGAGAAGGAAAAAATTAGGGGCAAAGAAAGCAATACTTGTTAGCCACACACCCAGAGAGATGTTCTTCAGGAAGAAAGATACTCAAAGTGTCTTACATCATATCTTTCTTCTGTTTTTGTTTTTCTTGGTTTGTACTAGTACTAGATATTGAACTCAGGGCCTCACCCTTTCACTCAGCTTTCTTAGTCACAGATGGTACTCTTCCATTTGGGCCATGCCTCTACTCCTGTGTTTTTACGCGTTAATTAGGGATAGAATCTCAAGGACTTTTCTGTCCAGTCTGACTTGGAACCTCAACCCTCAGATTTTAACCTCCTGAGTAATAGTTAGGATTACATGCATGAACTAGCAGCACGCTGAACATTATGTATTTCTTAACCATGTTTCTTTTTTTTGTGTGTCCGGTCGTGGGACCTGAACTCTGGGCCTGGGCACTGTCCCTCAGCTCTTCAGCTCAAGGCTAGCACTCTACCACTTGAGCCATACCACCACTTCTGGCTTTTTTTTTCTGCTTATGTGGTGCTGAGGAATCAAACCCAGGGCCTCATGCATGCAAGGCAAGCACTCTACCACTGAGCCACCTTCTCAGCCCTTAACCATGTTTCTTAATGTTTGTCCTCTTCCTGCCTGATAATTATTAAATCAGGTGACAATCTGAAGTTCTCTTCCTTTGCCTAAGTACTATCTACATCAACTAGGTGTGAAAAAACTGAAAGTCGCTTTAAACACGCTACTGAAATTACTATTATGGTACATTAAGCTTCTGTTGGGTGGGAAACTTAGAAGATTTAAAGAAGGCAAAGCACAAAATTCTTTTTTCTTTTCAGGACTCTCCTATCTTAAGACATTATTTTTATAAGGAGTTAGGAAAGTTTGGGGATAGAATAAAAAATACAGAAACCGTTCTGTTCACTGCTGTGATCTCAGACTAGGACTGTGCCTGAAACACAAAAAGTCAAACAATGAGTCAGTGAATAAATCAAAGAATTAGTGAATAGTTTTGTCTAAAGAATAAATTTATATTCTACCTAGATCAATGCTATTTCAGAGACCTTCCACAGACATACTTTCACTCATACATTTGGGGATCCAGTTCAGAAGATTCTCTGATGAACAGCCGAATTATTCCATGGGTAAAAATGACCAGTTGGGTAGAGCCCCATACAAACGCACTAAAGGCTCAATGAATCAGCTTCAATCAACTTCAAAACACTCCAACAGTAGCCTGAAAAATGTGGAGCTGGCACCTCGTGGCTATCTATCTATCTATCTATCTATCTATCTATCTATCTATCTATCTATCTACCTAGCTAGCTAGCTAGCTAGCTAGCTATCTTACCTGTTTGTCTATCTGTTTATCTTTCAAGGCTGAATGGTGGTCTGACTTTATAACAATATTAAACCTCAACTCATCAACTCCCTTATACTTTTGGACACACATGCAGCTAGTGATCCCCATATCCTGACTCTGAACCTTGAAAATGTCAACACAGGAGGTAACAGTGCTCAATAGGAAATGTTCTCATTATCTTACTCCTGTAGCTGTAAACTCCTCTGTACAGTATCTTTACAATATAAAAAAGAAAATGTCGGCACAGTCTTATCCTTAGAGTCCAAGTTTGACTGTTAGCTTGGAAGTGGGATTCCTGGAAGTGGAATTTTGAGGTGATTGCCAAAAAGATTTAACAAATGATGGTCTAACGAGCAGAGGATGGCTGGGAAAAGGGGATTGAGAGCAGATGGAAACAAGGACTTTCTAGAGAGGAGGAGATAAATGAAGTCACCTGGGATGGGTAGAGAAGATCTGTCAGGATTATCAGGGCCAATAATGAAAGTCACTATGGCCACAATCACTGGCTGGACTTCCTGCCATCTCAGCCTCCCCCTCCTCCCACTATGGGTGTCTGAAAAGAAAAGAGTGCTGTCAACTTTACATTCTTAAGCAGCTCTACTCCGAGACTGAGAAAGGTCAGCGGTCTGGATGCCAGCCATCTGTTTCATTCTACAATTCTACTGAGCTCAGGCTGTTTCTCTCCTATACAGAGGGACCTGTGTCAAGTAAACTAGGACTTGATCTAAACATCAAACCTAGGAAAAGCAACCAAGTTCTTTGGGGCATTTTGAAGTGTTTATTGGCACTCAGAACTCAGATTAGAATCCTGAAAACAAAACAAAACAAGGGAGCCAACAGAAGTACAACCTCTACTGTTGGCAGCAGGTATAAAACACATACAGAAAGGGGGCTGGGAAGGTGGCTCAGTGGTAAGAGTGCTTGCCTTGCATGCATGAGGCCCTGTGTTCCTCAAAATTCCACTTCCAGGAATCCCACTTCCAAGCTAACAGTCAAACTTGGACTCTAAGGATAAGACTGTGCTGACATTTTCTTTTTTATATATATATTTTTTTTATTGTAAATGTGATTCCTCAACAACACATAAGCATAACAAGCCAGAAATAGTGCTATAGGTCAAGTGGTAGAGCGCTAGCCTTGAGCTGAAGAGTTGAGGGACAGTGCCCAGGCCCAGAGTTCAGGCCCCACGACCAACAAAAAAAAACACATACATAGAGAAAGAGGACTTAGTGTTAGAGTGAAAGCCTGAAATGGAAGCAGAGTACCAGACTGAAAGAGAGCAAAGACCATTTATCTGGCCACAGTGCATACACATCCTCCCTCGTGGTTCCAGAAGCCTTGCTGTGCATCGTTTTAAACAATGGTAGGAAGTCATTGTGAGCCTCTGTGGGCTTGTTGAGACCCCACTGGCCAATGGGCTCCATGAGTTTTCCGGATTGGTGTCCTAGAAGATGGGTCTTAAATTGAGCACATTCCCCACTATGTCCTGGTCTTTGAGGCAGGATTTAAAACAACCAAGCTAAGGATGTGCTGAGAAGCAGAAGTTACTTAGTCACAACCCATCCATCCCATGCCAATTTTGTGCACGGGGCAGAAACAAACTCCGGAAATGGATCGGTCCAACTGTACTGCTATCTAAATCTCATTCAATCCAGGAAGGGATCTAACCTGTATACATAGAGGAAAGCGCTTCAATGCTTTATTGTGACGAGAACAGAGGGTTCAAATGATTATCCACCAAACATTGGCAAGCAGTGTGCACTGACACTCATCAGGAGGATGTCTTATTTATTTATTACAGGCTTTTCATTGACTAAAACTTCCTGAGTGGACTAATAGTTGAGATTTACACAAGTTTCATAAACACATTGGTGTCACTTACAACAGCACATATCTTGGGGTCTGGTTCTGTTCTTAGATGGATGGTCGAATCCATACATCCCCTAGCCTCCACTGGCCACCTCTTGGCCTACCCCTCCCCCACTCCTCCCCAGAGGCTGCTTTGCAGCTCTGTAGCAACAGGAAATGAGAGGAATGAACCAGGTGTTGCCGGGTTGGCTCTAGCCCAGAGATATGTGCTCTAGGCACCCTCCGTAGTCACGTTCGGGCAGGAAATGTGTATGTGTTCTTTAAAGATGTACACATAAGCTGGGTGGAGTGGCTCCCACCTATAATCTTAGCTATTTGGAAGACAGAGATGGGGAGAATCAGGGACTGGAGACCAGCCCAGGCAAAAAGTTAACAAGACCTCCACCTGTACCAATATAAAAGGGGCGTGGTAGTGTGTACCTGTCTTCTCAGCTACATAGAAAGTAGGAGGGTCACATACTTCAGGCTGGCCCAGGCATAAATAACAAAAGCAAAAGGGCTGGAATATGGCTCAAGTGACAAGAGTGCTTGTCTAGCAAGTTCAAGGCTCTTGGTTCAAACCCCAGTGCCACCAAATAAACAAATAGACCACTAAATAGATGTATACAGATCAAGCTGTATCTGGCAAATCCAAGTATAAAATCTGTTTCTCACATGCCACCAGCAGAACAACACAGTGGCTCTGTTGATAAGGGCTGTTGGTGAGCTGACTTCATAAAACACTGAATCTCAAAGTCCAAAGGTCAAGTTGAAAAATAAAAGTCTAAGATTCCTAATTGGATGCCTAAATGGGATGCTCAATCAATTGCAGGTCTTAACTGCATGTACAAACCATTTTAAACATTGGCATCAATGATCTACTGTCCATTCAGCAATGTTCATTCTTAAAACTTTCTGGTTACCACTCTAATAAATCACACTGTTCATCAGGAAGGTGGTTCAGTGGCAGAGTGCTC